ATGGACGCGGCCGGGAGGGGAGGTGAGTCACAGGACCCGCTCCCTCACTGTGAAGCCCGTCGGCAGTGCGGGGCCCCGGTGTTCGAACACTGGGACCCTGCAGTGCCCCATATTGCAGGACCGGACCGCACTGAGACTGTGCGGCCCGGGACCATTTGATCCGCGGACCGGTACCGGTCAGCGGACCGGGGGTTGGGGAACACTGCAGTAGGGCATCTAGCGCTTCATCAGGGAATATAGGAAAAACTGTCTCCCCAAAAAGAGGAACAACGGACATACACCCGATGCATAAAGCCAGGCATGAGAAGGCGGGAACCCCCCAGGGGTAATGAGGAGTGAGGGCCACGTCCACAGATGACCATATAAGACTGATGTATGGGAAGGAGAACAAATGCCTTTGGTTCAAATGCCCATCTAGTATGGTCAAATTAGGTGGATCCAAAAGAGGAGGAAGAGGGAGGAAGGCACAGCAGGAAACCCCTCCATCGACCTCACCAACATCCACCACAAACGCCGTGGGTGTGTGCGGAGCGCATCGGGTGTATGTCCGTTGACCCCTCTTTTTGGGGAGACAGTTTGTCATCTATTCCCTGATGAAGCGCTAGATGCGCTAAATGCATAGGAAACCACCTGCCCTACTGTATCCAGATAAGATCAGCATCATCTTTATCAACGTATAAACCGGTCTATGATTTCTGTTACTGTTAATTTTGACCATGTTATGCACTATATGATATTGGATGATCTATTTTCAATGTTAACATTGTATTGTTAATGACCAGGTTTTACCATTTCATTCACTAATGATATGGTTATGTTCGCTATCCTCAGTAGGGATTTGAGTGATGCTTGGAGGTTTCTTCTGTCTCATCAATAGATTTTAAACCATGATTGTTTTTAATGACTTTTCTAATTTAATAAAATATATATTTTTTTGACTAAACTATTGGGTCTGTCATCTGGTGCCTCAAAGCCCCACTGTGTTTTCTATCCATTCTTTTTTATTTCATACACTACAAAGATCTTTCATTCGACTTTTTATTAGTTGATGGTGTCAAATCAAAGATTGATTTAAACCGTAGTGAGGAAAAGTTTTGAAGGAGCAGGATGGACATTTGTTCTCGAACAAGAGAGATTCTAACAGTGAATGTGCTTTTCTTTGGGAAACTCCATTAATTCCAAAAGTGAATGTTAAAATTTCTAATGCCATTATCAGGTGGTTAAGAAAGATCTTTATTACGAACGTTCATTCAGAAATCTACTAGTGTATGGCCAGATTGAGTCTGCTGGAGATGCTGACCTCACATCCAAGATGCAGGGTTCTCAAGGATAGTGAATGTCTACACAAGGGAAACTTATGCAGGTGATTCACATGCATACAATATGTTAAATGCATATATAATGTTACAGAAATATTTTTAAAATGTATGGTCAGGTGAAAGGGTCTCTTAAAACAATGTTGTGAGCACATAAAAATAATAGTGAACAAAAAAATACGACTGAAAATAAACTGAATGAGAAATAGTTATGCAAGGAGAACAAACCAAAGCTACAAGTGGTAAGCCCTACCTAGAACTGATATGAAGTTACAAACTTTTAAAGAACTATTGATCCACTACAAAGTAATTAGTGGAAGAAAGAAGAATGAGATACACAAAACAAATGACAAAGTTTCACTGATGACTTAATTTGAACATCAGCACTGCTGACTGTAAAAATATCACTGTGACGATGTACAAACAAGCCAAAAGCTCTGTAATTTAATTTGGATTAGCAGAGCACCTTGCCTATCTGATAGGGCAAAGTGCAATAATGTGGCAAATTCAATAACCTGCTATGTACAGCAAAAAAATCTGAATACATTTTTTGGTGATGTGACAGTAAACGCTAACTTTTTTCTTATAGGTTAGGGTACCTGCTGTACGCCATCAATGTTAACTATATAT